TGGCAGGCAGGCAAGAGGACAGCAGGGCAGGCAGAGGGACAGAGGAACACAGCATCCCTTGTGCTTCTCACGCACACTCCAGTGCTGCTTCAACAGCTGCCACAACACCTTGCAGCCCCCAACCACCTGTATGGCAGGGTGGCCTTACCCGCACAGAGGGGCCCGCCACCCCTTGTGCTTCGCACACACGCTCGCATGCTGCTGCAAGAGCTGCCACACCACCTTGCAGGGTGAATGACATGGCGCCACCTTGCAGGGTGAATGACATGGCGCCACCTTGCTTGCACAGAGAACCTGTATGGTGAGCACGGGAAGCAGCGCTGCCTTACCTGCACAGGGGGACCTGGCACCCCTTGTGCTTCTCACTCACGCTTGCATGCTGCTCCAAAAGCTGCCACACCAACTCGCAGGGTGAATGACATGGCGCCACCTTGCTTGCACAGAGAACCTGTATGGTGAGCACGGGAAGCAGCGCTGCCTTACCTGCACAGGGGGACCTGGCACCCCTTGTGCTTCTCACTCACGCTTGCATGCTGCTCCAAAAGCTGCCACACCAACTCGCAGGGTGAATGACATGGCGCCACCTTGCTTGCACAGAGAACCTGTATGGTGAGCACGGGAAGCAGCACTGCCTTACCTGCACAGGGGGACCTGGCACCCCTTGTGCTTCTCACTCACGCTTGCATGCTGCTCCAAAAGCTGCCACACCAACTCGCAGGGTGAATGACATGGCGCCACCTTGCTTGCACAGAGAACCTGTATGGTGAGCACGGGAAGCAGCGCTGCCTTACCTGCACAGGGGGGCCTGGCACCCCTTGTGCTTCTCACACACGCTTGCATGCTGCTCCAGCAGCTGCCACACCACCTTGCAGCTCCCACGCAACCTTAGGGAGAGTGGCGTGTACAAGTATGGTTGGTGTCTTACCTGCATAGAGGGACCCGGCACCCCTTGTGCTTCTCACACACGCTCGCATGCTGCTCCAATAGCTGCCACACCACCTTGCAGCTCCCACACCCCCCCGACACCTTCACGCCGCACTTAGCAAAGTGACACATCAGCCCCTCAATTGGGCGGCACTTAGGGAGTCCGCAGGGGGTGGGAGGGGCGGCGGGGGTGGCTGGCGTGGGAGGGGACATGGGGCGGACGGAGGGAATGGAGGAGGAGGAGGAGAGGGTGGAGAGGGTAGGTTCGAGGGTGGTAGTAGGGGAGAGAGTGTTTGGTCCTGATTGACCTGTTATACCCATGTGGTCTGGTTGCTTCTGAGAGTCTGCTGAAATAGTATCTGCCCCAGCAGCAGCTGCAGCAGCAGCAGCAGCAGCAGCGCCATCGGAACTTGGCCCTTCTGCTCCCTCCCCGTCTGCCCCTTCCGCCCCTCCTCCTCCTCCCCCTTCCTCTGCCCCATTCCCCCCACCCCCCGCCCTCGCCCCCTCAGTCTCCACTGCAGAGGCAGAGGAAGGCTCAGAGGCGGAAGCAGAAGCGGGAGCAGCAGAAGGGGGAGCAGCCGAAGGGGGAGAGGAGACAGAGGCGGAGGAGGCACAGCTGCCGTCGTTGCAGATGTGCTCCAGTGCCCTCACTGCCTGCTGCACCTGCTGGAGAGCCCACGCCTCCTCTCCCTGCAAGCCGGTATCGCGCTGCCGTGGGAGGGAAAGCAATAGGGAGCAGAGGGGAGATGGAACGGTGAAAGGGGTAGTGAAAAGCTGTGCTTGAGTGCCCTCACTGCCTGCTGCACCTGCTGGAGAGCCCACGCCTCCTCTCCCTGCGAGCCGGTATCGCGCTGCCATGGGAAGGGCAAAGAGGAACGGGCGACAGGGGAGAGATGAAAGGAGCAAGAGGGGATGATAGCCTGGGCTGCAGACCTCTCACTGCCTGCTGCTGCACCTGCCGCCTTGCCCACCCGTCCGCGACCTGCCAGGCCCCACTAGGAGTGCGCTGCAAACCCAGTGAGCAATGTGAGCATTGTGCAGAGACGAATGGGCAGAGTAGGAGAGGCGAAGAGAGGCGGGTCAGAATGGTAAGCTAAAGGGACAGACTACCATGCAGACTCCCTCACTCACTCACTCTCACCCACCCCTGCCCTCTTATGTCATGAACTCACTTTCTTCCTCGCTTCCACCATCCCCACAAGCATCCCCTTCACATCCGGATACTCCTGACTCAGCATGGCCCACGCGTCCGTCAGCGCCACGTCAGCGTGGTGCCGCACGATGTACTGCTGAGTCAGCGCCTGCAGCGCGCGCGAGCCGACCAATCGCGCGAGGACAAGCGTGTCGACGGCGTTGGCGGGGGAGAGTAGGCGCGAGCGGAGGGCCTCGAGGCAGAGGGACTTGAGGAGGGGGATGGGGAGGGAGTGGGCGAGGAGGAGGAGATGGAAGATGTGGCGATCCATCAACCCGTCGTCCATGCTGGCAGGTGGGTAGAGGGGAGGAAGGGGGGGAAGTGGGAGAAACATGCACTTTTGAAGCGCCTCAAAAACATGCACTGGGTATAAAACAAGGAGGCGGGAACGCAGGGCGTCGAGGCAGAGGGGGAGTAGGCGAGGAGGAGCCAGTGGAAGATGTGCCGATTCATTAGTGCATCGTCCACACTGCTTTGTTGAAGGAGGAAGGAGAGTGGTGGGAAGAATGGGGGAGTAGGAAGAAGGGAGAGAAACAAGGGTTGAGGGAAACAAAGCCATCAAGACGAGGGTGATGGGGAGGGAGTGGGCGAAGAGAAGCAAGTGGAAGATTGAGCGAGACGGGGTGAGGGGGGTGGTGGAGGAGGGAGAGGAGGGGTTATGGAGTGGGTAGGAGAGAACGGGAAGGAACGAGGATTCAGTAATATAAAGCGATCAAGACGGGGGCAATCAGGTCAAACAGACCAGGAAGAGGGGGAAGGGAAGAGGAAGAAGCAAGCATGGGGTAATCAAGAAGCGGCGGGAGCGGAGGGCTTTAGGGAAGAGCGATTGAGAAGGGCGGTGGGGAGGGGGTGGGCGCGTGAGGAACCTCATTTACCTGATGGCCTTCACAGGGACTCTCCTCAGCACCATCATCCACAGAGACATGCCTTTCCCCTCTGATAGACTCCACCTATGTTGGCTTGGATTTTGAGAATTCTCAAAAGTCAAACCAACATTCCCCACCTTCCATTCACAAGGGTTGCACGGCCCCTCTTTAGCCTCCACCAACATTCCCCACTTAGGCCACCCTTTTTCCCCATACCCCCACAGAGGGGCACAACAGAGCAAGGAAACAAGCCGAGTCACGTGCCACAGTAAAGAGCTTGCACGACCCCTCTGATGGCCTCCACCGGGACTCCCCTCAGCACGATCACCCACACACACCTGCTCCCCCCCATTCCCCCCTCTTTTCCTCCTCTCACTAAATGGAAGATCACAAGCCAAGGCGCAGGGCAGACTCACGTGCCGCAGTAAAGAGCTTGCACGACCCCTCTGATGGCCTCCACCGGAACTCCCCTCAGCACGATCACCCACTGAGACCACCCTTTTCCCCATACCCCCGCTGAGAGGCACATAAGAGAGCAAGGCGCAGAGCCGACTCACGTGCCGCAGTAGAGCGCCTGCACGACGCCCCTGATGGCCTCCACTGGGACTCCCCTCAGCACGATCACCCACTCACACCTGCCCTCTCTCCCCCTACCCCACTGCACATAGCAGACTCACGTGCCGCAGTAGAGCGCCTGCACGACGCCCCTGATGGCCTCCACTGGGACTCCTTTTAGCACGATCACCCACTCACACCTGCCCTCTCTCCCCCTACCCCACTGCACATAGCAGACTCACGTGCCGCAGTAGAGCGCCTGCACGACGCCCCTGATGGCCTCCACTGGGACTCCCCTCAGCACGATCACCCACTCACACCTGCCCTCTCTCCCCCTACCCCACTGCACATAGCAGACTCACGTGCCGCAGTAGAGCGCCTGCACGACGCCCCTGATGGCCTCCACTGGGACTCCCCTCAGCACGATCACCCACTCACACCTGCCCTCTCTCCCCCTACCCCACTGCACATAGCAGACTCACGTGCCGCAGTAGAGCGCCTGCACGACGCCCCTGATGGCCTCCATTGGGACTCCCCTCAGCACGATCACCCACTCACACCTGCCCTCTCTCCCCCTACCCCACTGCACATAGCAGACTCACGTGCCGCAGTAGAGCGCCTGCACGACGCCCCTGATGGCCTCCACCGGGACTCCTTTCAGCACTATCACCCACGGGGGGCGCGCCTGCTGCAGCATGGCACCCGCCAACATGCGCTCCAGGCCCTGCGAGTGGGCCGCCTGGGGAAGGATGGAAGGGAAGGGGGGCGGGAGAGGGGTGGGCATTGCAGGACGTGGATTAGGAGTGCTCGCGCCTGCTGCTGCTGCGCCTCCGGGGACGGAAGGGGACGGGCGGGAGAAGGTGGGGGGGGGGGGGGGATCGCAGGACGTGGTTGAAGAGTGCTCGCGCCTGCTGCAGTGCAGCATGGCGCCTGCCAGCATGCGCGCCAAGCCCTGGGAATGCGCCTCCTGGGGTACGGGGGGAGGCGGGGATGTTTGGGGGGAGGGGGGGGAGTTGGGGGGTGGAGAGGGCGGAAGAGAAGGCGTGGTTCGGGAGTGCTCTCGCCTGCTGCAGCATCGCGCCTGCCATCATGTGCTCCAGACCCTGCGAGTGGGCCGCCTGGGGTACGGGGGAAAGGGGGGCGGAGAGGGGGTGGGGATTGCAGCAGCATGGCGCCTGCCAACATGCGCTCCAGGCCCTGCGAGTGGGCCGCCTGGGGTACGGGGGGAAGGGCAGGGGAGGGAGTGAGGGCGAGGAGTACGGGGTGCATGTGCTCCTAAAACGTACAGTATCCTCCCTTGCAACGCGCCTAATGACCATCCCATCAGCGATCACTCGTAGGCGCCTTCTGAGATTCTGACCGGCAGGGAGCCTACAGACTACCCAACCAGCATCGAGTCTATTAATCATCTCACCAGCAAGGAGACTTCTTGGTTTCTAACTCACCAGCACGGCGCCTACTAACTATGAAGCAATGAATAATCTCACCAGCACGGCGCCCTGCGCGAGCACCAGCCCGCCATCCACGGCGGATCGGATCTCCACGTCAGCCTGCCACGCGCCACGCCAGCAGTCCTGCCACACGCGCACCACGTCGCGCGGCACGCGCACCGACTCGTAGAAACACCCCCCCTCCCCCGCCCCCCCCGCTTCCCCCGCTTCCCCTTCCGCCACCCCGTGGGGGGAGTCCAATCCGCCTCCGCCCGCCCCTTCCGCCCGCCCCGCGCTCTCGGAAACCCGCCACGACCCCGCACGGCGGGGAGCCCTTCTTCCCGCCCCCGCGGAGGCGGCGTCGTCGGGGGGGAGAAATGTGGAGGTTTCCCCCTCCCCCGCGCAGCTGTTCCCGACGGGGGAAACGGGCGGGGAGGGGAGCAGCATGGGGGGCGGCGACGCGTCGGGACCCGAGAGCGCGATCCCCGCGGTTTGCGGCGACCCGAGGAGCGCCGCGAGAGGCGTCATCTGGCCAGGAACAGGCCTACGTGGTTTCCCGGATTTTCCGGGTTCCAAGGGGAGGCTGTCCGGCGCAGATTGGACAGCATGAATGTGATTCGCGGTCGACGGGAGAGCAGAGGAGGATAGGGTAGAGGGAGGGAGAGCCGAAGCAGAGGAAGAAAGAGCATCGTTCATGGTATGAGCGCGAGTGGGTAGGTCAACACTATTTCTAGAGGGGAGATCAGGCGGCGAAGCTTTCGAATCTGCGTTCTTATTTGCGATGTCGGAGCTCTTATAAGGGGGATCCGCTCCGGGGGACGATGGGAGTGCAGCCACGTGGTCGTTCGCAGATAACGATTTGCTTGGTGCTGCACCCGTCGCCGGACTGCCACGTGTCCGTACACGTGGCAGCAGCGCGGATCCCGCGCCATTGGTCCAGCTGCTGCTGTGGGCGTCCGCCGGACCGCCTGACGATTCGCCTCGATCTGAGGGATGGCGGCCCGGGTACGACATACTCTATAGTTGATGCGGACCGAATCTGTATCTCTGTATCTCTTCTGTGTGAATGCTTATACAAAAGCGAATGAGAAACGAGAGCTAATAGCGAAACAAGAACAAGACACGGTTGAGATACCAACACGGATTCGCCACCTTCTGTTTCTCACAAGATGCGAGTTCCGGTGACCTAGAGACTTGCTGAACGAACAACAGTATGGCCGAAATACCTTATCCTACGGCCATGGGACCTGCAGTACATAAGGGAACGCTCGCTCTGCGCACCGCTTATTTCGGAACTGGTGCTCAAGCGAACCAGCAAATACCGCTAACTGTGGTAACGAAGTACATGCACGAGCTCTCGCGTAAGTTGCTTCCAGAGCCTATTTAGCAGAGGCAGTTCGAGGAAAAGAGTTGCTCTGTACGGAGTCGAGAAAATAAGACATCCGCCGCGCCGCCATGAGCAGTGCTACCTGTCAGACGAGGCGAGCGAGTCGCGGGGTTGGCGTTGGACAGGACAGTCGACACAACAGAAGAGGTATGGATGGATGTCTCGTCTCTAGGTCGGAGGCTGGAGGTAGTGGGCACAAGGGAAATCAGGGGAACCGGGGGATGTGTGAGTGACTCCGTCTGGAAACGGAATCTGGGGACGGGGGCGGAAACGAAAAACGTCTGACACCCGTCATGTTTGACTAGTGTTGTTGGGCGGGTCCAACTCATATAAATTTGGCGGTTGGCAACCTTGGTAACGAATTGCCATCCGTCCGGGTTTCAAGCAGGGTATCCGAACACAAGCACGTGCCATGTCCTGGAGGGTCTACGCGGACTTGGGTTCCCGCACAGACGAACTGCCAGGCCTACACGGACACAACATCCCGCCCATGCGAACTGAATTGGGACGAATACATTGGGTTCGCGAATGCTAAACTTGTCGAATGGGTAACTGGGGTTTGATTTGTGGCCCCGTTTGGGCGACTGAATCTGCATTGTCGAAGAACAACTCGCTCGCTCGACGTAGGTAAACCTTGTTACCAGCATTTGAGGCAGCAGGAGTTGATTTGTGGCCGTGGTTCAGTTTGCAATTTTTTCGGTTGAAAATCGAGTGCATTATGTGTTGTGAAATGGGGCTGGTTTTGCAAGCTGGGAAACCGAGCGCGGCATCCAGGCTGATCTCGAATTTTGACGCGGTTACCCTACAAAAAAAGGGTTACTGATCCCCATACTGACCTGAGCTGTGATGAGTTGGACCCGCCCTAACCTGTCCGCAGCCCAACGAAATCTTTCGCGAACCTCGTCCCCAAGCAAAGGTCGGGTTTTCCCTCACTGACTGCCCCAACACCTACACTTCCGGATTTGCATTGACTTACAGTGTACCGAAGCAGTTCTCGAAGGGTACAGGAAGCTCGGCAGTCCCGAGAAACACGAGTTCGCTCAACCAACCGTTTGAAAACGTGACGAATCCCGCAAGAAAAACTACGGAACCGGAATCAACCTTTTGAGATTGAACTAAAGGAAACATAGGTTTTGGTGGGATCTACGCTCCACTATAAGTGGTCTCATTATCTCATACCACCTCCACCAGCATTCCGTTTCTGCCAGTCATCAACGCTCCCAGCCAGGTCGCCGCTGCGACAGCCTCAACGCGTTTCGATCCAGTCAGCCTGTCGCTTCCCAGTCGTTACCCAATCGCTCGCTCTGCCATTCCCATCGGCCGTACTGCTCCGTTCACGCAGCATTCCTGCGGCTCCCGTTCCGCGAATTCCGCTGCCTCTCGCAGCGTCCTTTCACAGTGCAATCGACCACGCGGCGTGCTCAATTGCCTCTTCCCGCGCTTTCGCAATCAGATAGCAATGAGCGCTGACGTGGCGCAGACGGCTGACGTGGCAGACGCCGATGGACGGGTGCTGATCACGTTCGACGTGGACGGCACGCTGATCCACTCCGTCGGTTCGGAGTCCAATAAGCTCCATAAGCGCGCGTTTGCGCATGCGATGAAGACTGTGTTTGGCATCCATGGCACCATAGACGCCATTCAGGTACGATCCGGCGCAATTCTGTGCGATTCAGTTCAGGCACAACCCGACGCAATCCAATGCGGCGTCGACGCAATTCCGTCCCCGTCCACTCTCCCCGCTCCGTACTCTCCCGTCCCTCGCCCTCCATTTCCCCCACTCTCCCCTTTTGCCACTTTCCCCGTCCCCCACTCTCCCATTTCCCCACTCTTCCCCATCCACCTCCCTCGATCTCCCCTTTCAGCACGAGCTTTCCTTGGCCGCAATCTTACTTTCCCCCCTCCCCGTCCTCCCCTCCCCCCCACTTCCCCTCAAACCCCCCACACCCCCCCCATACACCCTCCCCGTCAGCATCACGGCAGCACAGACCAGGCAGTGCTGATTAACACACTCGAGTTCTACGGCATCCCCAGACACGTGAGTGTGGCACGTGAGTGAGACACATTGTGCTCTGCTTGTTCTATGTAGGCTCTTGTTGAGTCCAAGGGAGCGCGTGCACTGCGCATTGCGCTCTGGATAGTGCACTTGTCAGCAGGACAGACCAGGCAGTGCTGATCGACACGCTCGAGTTCTACGGCATTCCCAGACACGTGAGTGCTCTTGTGCGCTGTGTGTTGTTGAGAAGTCTAAGGGAATGCGCATTGCGCTCTGGATATAGCTCCTCTCATCATAGCAGCACGGACCAGGCAGTGCTGATCGACACGCTCGAGTTCTACGGCATTCCCAGACCCGTGAGTGCGCCTTATGCTCTTCTCTGCGTGTCGTATGTTCTGCTCTGTTCTTAGTGTGCCTCCTGCTCTGTTCGCCGCATTGCGCTCTGGATAGTGCTCCTCTCATCATAGCAGCACGGACCAGGCAGTGCTGATTAGCACACACGAGTTCTACGGCATCCCCAGACACGTGAGTGCGGCACGTGAGTGCGGCACATTGTGCTCTGCTTGTTCTATGTGGGCTCTTGTTGAGAATTCCAAGGGAGGGCGCGCACGGCATGTTGCGTGCTCTGGAGAGTGCTGCTCTCATCATCGTTGCGGGCTCCACAACGTTTTTTGAGACGTCTCAAAACTCCACAACGTTCCCAGTCCCGTAAGGGCAACACATTGCGAGGGGCACGGAAAGGGGGAAGGGTGCGAGGGGGGGGTGTCGAGCAAGAAAGCTCAATCCGAGTCCCCCTCCCTGTCACCGCAGCTCAGAGTTTGTAGACACATGCCGCGTTCATGCCGTCGCTCCCCCTCCCTGTCACCGCAGATAAGCGAGCCCCAGCTGCCAGTGCTATGTGGCGCCATGCTGCAGTAGTACTGTCTAGAGCACGCTCCCCGTTCCTCACTGCTTAGAGTGTGTCCCGTCTGCCCTGTGTGCCCTGTGTGCCCTGTGTGCCCTGTGTGCCCTGTGTGCCCTGTGTGCCCTGTGTGTCTCTCATGGTTGTTGATGTGCAGATCAGCGAGCCCCAGCTGCCAGTGTTATGTGAAGTGAAGCCGTGCTGCAGTACTGTCTAAACATGCGGGGGATGCAGCGGGTGGTGTTCTGTGCCCTATGCCTGTGCTGCAGTGCCTAAGTTCTGCCCTGCGCGTCCCATTGTTGTCCCTTCCTCCACCCCTCACTGCCACTCGCAGATCAGCGAGCCACAGCTGCCAGCGTTATGTGAAGCCATGCTGCAGTACTGTCAAGAGCACGCGGGGGATGCAGCGGATGGCATTGCGCTGCTGCCAGGTGTCCGCGCGCTATTGGAGGAGCTCTCCCGCATGCAGCCCGGTGTGGTGGTGGGACTGGTGAGAGTGCGGTTGAGTGCGGTGGTGGACTGTGAGAGTTCGGCTCAGTGTGGTGGTGGGACTGGTGAGAATGCGGTTCAGTGCGGTGGTTGGAATGGCCAGTGCTCGTTGCTGCTGCCCTGAGATCACTATTGTTGTCCCGTCGACCTTGCCGATGTCATCTGACAAGAAACACTGCCATGCCATGTCATGCCATGCCATGGCATGTCTTGTACTGCTGCATGCCTGCATTCAGGCTCATTGGGCGGTAGTTGGGTGATGTGCTGTGATGTGCTGTGATGTGCTGTGATGTGCTGTGATGTGCTGTGATGTGCTGTGATGTGCTGTGATGTGCTGTGATGTGCTGTGTTGTGGTGTGTTGTGGTGTGTTGTGGTGTGTTGTGGTGTGTTGTGGTGTGTTGTGGTGTGTTGTGGTGTGTTGTGGTGTGTTGTGGTGTGTTGTGGTGTGTTGGGACGGGTTGGCATTGCAGGTGACAGGCAATCTGGAGCACATAGCATGGCTCAAGATGGCTGGGCTGGAGGTGGATTCGCTCTTCACAACCCCACGCATAGGAGGGTGAGAGGATGCGCATGGGAGGGTGAGAGGACGAGTAATGATGCGCCTAGCGCCTGCCCTGGTAGCCTGGCATAGTATAACACAGGAAGGCTTTTGCATCGGCTTTCCATCACAGCAACCATGCTGAAACAGAGGCGGTGTTCGTATGCCCCCACCCCACAAATCGCATCAGAAATAGCTGCAATGGCCTCCCCAATTCACCTGTCTTCGCACATTCTACCTTTGTGTATATCCCCTACCTACCCAGGTTCGGCAGTGACCACATGGATCGGGGAGAGCTGGTTCGGATAGCAAGGCAGCGAGCAGAGGAGAGAATTGCAGGGCCGGCCTTTCGGCTGCATGCACATGTTGGCGACACGGTGAGACATGCATGCATGCACATGTTGGCAACACGGTGAGACATGCATGCATGCACATGTTGGCGACACGGTGAGATACGGATGAAGCAACATGCATGAGTTGGCATGGCATGTTCGAAACATGGCGGGATATGCATGATGCATGCTTGTGTTTAGGACAGGGTTAATTCAGCACAGCTATTGCCTCTCCTCCCACTCCCTGCTGTCATTGTAATTCCCGCCTCGGCGTCTGTGCACCACCAGGCTTTTCAGTCCTTTCGAAATGTCCGCGCTCCCCTCCTTCTCCTCTTCAATCCGACGTATATGCTTGTTTTGTTCCTCTTTC